CCGGTAAAACAGATCCAACTGCGCCAGAACCGGCCTCTCTTTCCTACTTGCGTGATCATAATTGTCTCCGCATTCTATGTGGTAAATTAGACTGTCGGTGTCGGTGTACATAATTTTACATTTTTCGCGACATGAAGGAGACATGTACTCGTGGTAAAATTCATACAAGCAAATCTTTGATATGTCGTAGATGCACATATCCACATAGATCGGCTTGTTGAATTTCACGTCGAGTTTCCGTAATTCGACGGCAATTAAGTTTCCGGTGAAAATGCTTCAGCTATGAAAATTTGGTTTCGCGATCATTGCCTCAGCACCGTGCCGTCCATCCCATTTTGTCAACAGTTTCACATCTACATGATTGCGTACATTTTCCAACGTTTTTCCAAATACAGCATTGTTTATAAATTTATACAAATTTTTCTCGAAATTATTCGTCGCTTGTGTTCTAAACTGTGTATTAAGTTCGATGTAATCGCGGAGCCACTGAGATTAAGCGAATTGGAGTATACGATGTATTTTTGTAATGCGAAGACCGTGACGCGTGCACTGCTGCAGGTTGCGATAATGAATAACATAACGCTGCTTATCGTATAATGTTAACAATAACTTATCCCGTTTTTTACCGGGTGGTTTGGCGCACGTTGGACAAAACGGTAGGTCAGCGTGAGCGTCGTGCAAATATTGCGGATATTTCAGACCGACCTCGAGAATATAACCTATGGGTGAATCGACAGCGATTGAAGATACATCATATGTTGAAACATCTGTAACCCATTGAAATTCGGCGTAAGGCAGCGGTTGACACATTGCCCAACCGTACAGATTGTTTACGTCAAAGTACATTAGGTACGACAATAATTTCGATGAATCGTAAGACTGCAGGTACTTGTTATTAGCCTGTGCGTATCTTCTGGAACATTGACTGAGACCGCGGCGTATACCACGTTCGATGAACATGACCATATCGATATCAGTGAACAATTCAAAATTTATGCCGGTATGTTTTAACGTATCATCCCAAGTGAAACCCGGTAAAGTATAATAATTTGCAGGATCTAATCCGTAACTTTTGATGCAACTATCCCGGAAATTTTCAATAATATTGGCTAATAATAAGACATTAGTCTTCAGATATAAATCGCCGTCTTCACCCAAGGTTTCAATAGAGAATCGTTGCCAGACGTTCGCAGCGTGCGCGTAATTGTTCTCGGATATCGTATCACCCGTCAACGAACTATAAAATGATTCTCGCGGTGGTAAACACAGGTCCTGCAACTTGTCCAAGCAATCAAGGTATTCATATGGAAAAACACCCTTTCACGTCAATAAATCGAAATCGGATATATTTGAAAATGTGGACTGTAAAATTTTTAATTTTTCTTTGTCGAGAAAAGATGCTAATTTTTCTAGACTGGTATTTAGAAATTTGTTTGAATCGATGAATTGTAACTGTATGCAATTTCGTGAATCAGATTTTTTGGCTGTATCTTGGACGTGCCTCGTAAATTATATATATTTTTCTTTTGTTATAGGCACCACATTGATCTAGCCTTCAAATGCATTTGCTATTTCCATGATAATAAAATGTGAATCGTAGTCGGATAAATTATGGAAAATTATTGGAATGTAATATGAATGTTTATAATTTAAATTGCACTTTGAATGCGCGGGACCTCTGTACCGTCCGGTGAGATGGCAATGATCGCGTATGCGTGTATCATCTTTCTCGACCCCTTTCTCGCACACGTGACAGTGCGTTGCGCTATTAAATGTTTCCATCTGTTCGTTTGATAAAGTTTCCATGGGGACATTTGTTGATAAGACTAATTTTACGCGGTGCGCTAACTCTTTGAGTTGCTAGACGAACTACGAGACGCAATCACTATCGCGACGGCTTCAAAAATACGATAATGACTCATCATACGAATAATGTAAATAATACGGTATGTCGAATACCCTATGATGCTGATACGCGTGCGATTTGTGATCCTCTCCCTCCTTGCTCGTAGTCTTCTGTAAAATGCACTCCAGATCGGCGTACACGGCAAACGGTAGA